CATGTGCTATTTAAATTTTAGCATGAAATATCTTCTTTTACTTTAAATAACATATCCTAACTGTAATATGTTGGTTATTTTAGCTTTTGATAAAACATGCTTTAGAACTCACCATATACACATTTCAACTACTGTCAAACCTGTCTATACAGTTATGACGAAAAATTAATATTTTTACCAACTTCATTGGTCTAATGAGCTATTATAATTTGATATATCTAAATAAAAAATAAACCTGACGATGTATCCTTATACCTTGATACCTTGATAAACGTATATTCACCGATTACAGCAGATGCTACTTCTTCTTCTTCAAGTGCCATCTTCGTTCCGAAGGTTGGCGATCATCGGGGCTACACGTATTTTCGAAACTGCTGATCGAAACAATTTGTTGTTGCTACAGATATACCATTCCCGTAGGTTCTTTAGCCAGGAGTTTCGTCTTCTTCCTATGGACCTTTTTCCTGCTATTTTCCCTTGCATAATTATTCGAAGCAGTTCATATCTTTCGCCTCTTGTAATGTGTCCCAAGTATTGTAGTTTTCGCTTTTTGATCGTAAATATGACTTCCTTTTCTTTATTCATTCTTCTCAAGACCTCGATATTTGTGACTCTCTCGGTCCATGATATTCTCAGGATTCTGCGATACATCCACAGTTCAAATGCCTCTAATTTTTTGGTATCAATCTTTTTCAACGTCCATGACTCCATTCCGTAGAACAGCACAGAAAGTACGTAACATCTCATCAGGCGAAGTTTCATTTCAAGGCTCAAATCTCTTCCGCAGAACACTCTCTTCATTTTAGTGAATATGGATCTGGCATTTTCTATTCTTACTTTGATTTCTGCTGAGCTATCGTTGTCTTCATTTATAAAAGTGCCTAAATATTTGTATTTGCTAACTCGATCGATAATTTCATTGTGTAAATATAAATTTTGGACATTTTGTGTTGATTTCGATATTACCATAAATTTAGTTTTCTTTATGTTCAAAGATAGTCCATATTCTTCGCTGCAATCTGCTATCTTATTCACCAATGTCTGTAGCTCTTCAAGTGTTTTTAAGATCAGAACGGTGTCGTCGGCAAATCTCAGATTGTTTAATCTAACACCATTTATTTTAATACCTAGGGATTGCTCAGAGAGTGTTCTATTCATTACGTCTTCGGAATAGATATTAAACAGGGTTGGTGACAATATACACCCTTGTCTCACACCTCGCTTTATTTCAATTTCTTCAGTGGTATTATTCTCTACTCTTACTACTGCTTTCTGATTGTAGTACATATTTACTATTAGTCGGATGTCTCGTTTAGCTAAATTCTTTTCTGTCAGGAGTCTGATTAGGTGATCATGCCTCACTTTATCAAAGGTCTTGTTGTAATCTATGAAACACATGAATACATCTTGGTTTATGTCAAGACATCTTTTAGACATAACGTTCAGTGCAAACAACGCCTCTCTTGTTCCGAGTCCATTTCGGAATCCAAACTGGGTATTATTGATGTCCATTTCCAGTTTTCTGTGTACTCTAGAGTGTATAATTTTCAGGAATATTTTCAGTACATGGCTCATTAGACTGATTGTACGGTAATCACTACATTGTTTGTCATTTATCTTTTTTGGTATCATAACAAAGGTGGATAAAAGCCATTCTTGTGGTATTTTTCCTGATGTATAAATGCTATTGAAAAGTTCAACTAAAATGTGAATCGAGTCTTTTTCTATTAGTTTAAGGATTTCCGTTGGTATTTCATCTGGACCTTTGGCTTTACCATTTTTCATTCTTTTTAGTGCGTACATTATTTCCTCTTCCGTTATTTCTGGATCTTCATCTCCTTGTATGTTACTTAGCTCAGATTGTTATATATCATCTGCAAAGAGTTCTTCAATATAGTTTTTCCATGTCTTCAACTGTTCTTCTAGTTCTGTTATTATGTTTCCGTTGACATTATACAGGGTATTTGGCTGCTTACGTTTTTGTGTACCTGCAAGTTCTTTCACTTTTTTATGTACATTAAAAATATCATGTTTTGTCTGCAATTGCTCTATTTCTTCACATTTTCTTTTATAAAAATCTTCTTTTGCTATTCTGATTTCTATTTTGATCTCTTTCTGTATTTGTTTATACCTTTGTTCGTTTTTTCCTTTCATTATTCTCCGATTGTCCATGAGAAGAAGGATCTTATCAGTCATCCACCTTTGCTTTATTTTTGGTTTTTCGTTAGTCAGAATTTTCTTCGCAGGACCTGTTATCGCCATTTTTACGTTTTGCCATTTTTTATTTATGTTGTTCGTTGGCTGAGATGTTTCTTTTTCATGAAGTATTTTCAAATTATTATTAATACATTTTTGCAGTTTCTCCTTTACCTCTAGGTTACATAAATGACTGACGTCTATCTGATTTGCTCTTCTTTTCTGCCCCAATCTTTGTTGCTAATACAAAACAAAAATTTTATGATAAACTTTATAAGCGTAACGAAAATTTATAATTCGTAACATATTGAATTTTTCCTGTGTACAAAGTGAAATCACGTGTCCCATTATGGAGAAACCGCAATGTTAACGAAACCATTCCAAACTCGGATAAATTAATGTAATTCGGAAAATAGGTCAGTGTGTATCCTTGACATACAAACTAGCTCGTATAGTTGTATATTTGACCCGTATTTTTGCGCTCCGAATAAAATGTAATGCAGTTTTCTTTGGTTTTGAAATAACTACAAAAACTGGAATAGAATTTCGGATAGAGGAACGTAAATCATTAATAAAAAAAAGAAATGTATGGATTGAGTTATTTTCTGAATAAAAACCCTCCTGAAATTTAACAAAGCAATATTATGTTTTATTCAACAAAAATATCTTGAAGTTAACTCATAAAAAGAAAAATTGCAGAAATTATTTTCTCTACACAGGGGAAAAATAAAAAACAAGAACGTAATAAAGTACATACGAAACTTTGTAAATTTAGAATATTGCAATTGTAGGATTGTCTGAACATATTTGCTATTTAATATTTCCTGAAAAAGTACGTCTATGTTTTAGAATTATCGTTTCCCATCATATTTTAGAGCGCATTTAGTATGCCATCGAGTCCTGGAGCTTTCCTGTTCTTTTTTTAATGTACATAGTTTATCTCAGCTTCAGCACCTTCATTTTCAGAAATAGCTTCATCATTCCCATAAATAATATTAACAATCACCTCCTCTTCTGAAACATCGCTATCTGGTACACAGTCGCTTTCACTTTCTACAAAAGTCTCTTCATCGGAATCCAAGCATGCCAGTATATCATCATATTCTTTTTGCGTTAGTCCACACAAACCACATGTATCGCATGAGCGCCTTCTTTTTCTCGAATCAGACATTTTCTTGAAATTTCACAATTCATTTGCACTGCCACAGTAATAGCAGAATAGTGCGTAGTCCGTGCTAACGTGATATTTGCGGTACAAGACGCATGCTAAAAATATACCAAAAACCCGACCATATCCGGCAGTTAAACGCCGTGTATCAGAAGCTGCCGTATCATTACGGCAGTGGGTTCATCACAATGCATGTTCGAACGTACCAATACGGGATTGGGGCTGATAGCACTGTAACAATGCCGGATAGATGGGGCAATGCGGCTGGCAGAGATACAAAAAAAAATTTTATGCCGTATACAAACGGCATGGTGTTAAAAACGTTTTTACTCGAGAACGTATATATACGTTACTGGGAACAGTGACACTTTTCCCCAAACCGTATATATACGTCGCTAGTAAAGAAAGGGTTAATAATTTTTTTCGACCTTTTCCAAGCATTTTTTTCATGTTTTTAACATTTTTTGAAAGTTATGTGGGTGGATACTGTCTTAATATCAAAGCTTCTATGAAAATATGAAGGATGATCCGGTTTTGATCAAAATTATGGAAAGCCCTTTCTATAACACCTTATTATCGGATACCCTTATACCTTATTTGGAGTTACAATTTGCGTTTTTTCTTTTAGTTGACAAAAGGCTTTTTTTAGTTGAAGTTTTGACAGGTTTTTCTTGTCTTTATCAAAACTATGACTAAAATTTATGGATTATTTTTATCATAGTGTTAACAAAAAAACTAATAAAAAAATACCATAAAAAGTAAATTAGTTAACCTTAATCATATAATTCTACATGAAATTAAAAAAAAAAAATCTATTTTCAAAGGACCCCGCACAAACCTTAAATCTGCCCAAACTTTGCCATGCTGTAGTATTCGAACAAAATGTCGAACAAAAGTCTCAATGGTGACAAGTGCCAAAAACCAAAATTTGAGGGCGCTGAAGGTCGTCAACTTTGTTATTTGTTGCAAGAATTTAATGGCGTTCGCTCGTTCTAGCGGATGGTGTTACATCGTTAATACCACCAAGACAGAGATCACCTTTACGAATCTAATTGGACTTTAAGAATGTAATCAGCGATGGTATTTACTCTGTCCTTGAGATTAATTCTAAAGGCCAATTAGAGGTCAAAACGGCTTCTTCATGAAAATCAGCATTATTCTTTAAAACAGAGATCTAGATTTTTTCAAAGATGTATCACAAGATTTGGTTAACTCTTAAAAGGATTTTTGGGGTCACTGTTTCAGAATTAGTGATCATTTAACGTGTTAAGTCGAGTTCGAAGACATTTTAAGGTTTATCTGAAGTTACCTGAAGATCATCTTAATGTTAGACACTTAATGACAATAAATAAAATCGGAAAATGTATGTTATTCATTAGAGTTAGAAGACCTTGATGGGATGTTATGTTTTTAAGTTTATATATTGTGTTTTGTATATTTAACAGTAAATACATAGGTATAGAATTATCATTTGGATGCTTTGGAGAACTCCTGAGATATGTGTCGTTATTTCGCTTTTGTTTGGCACATTATTGACTCACTATCATCAACTTATACTTGTGTTTTTATTGAGACCATCGAATAACGTGTTCACTTTAGACTATTATTTATTTTATTTTTTTGTTTTTTTTTACAGGTAATTGTTGCTGTGAATATTGAAGCAATAACTAAACTATTAGGAGTTGTAACCGATGGGTCTGTAGGATATATTACCAAAGAATTATTTATTTTCACATTAAACCTTTCACATGTTCAAAACCATCAATCATTTTTAAGCTACTATAGGATAGAAATAAGGAGGATCACATATCTAGAATACTTTTTTTGTATATTTAACACAAATTTGTTTGTCATAAAACTTCGAATTGTTTTTGTATTGTAAGGATTTTCCAAGTTATAATCTGATATGTTTTTAAGAGCATAATATGTGATTCCTGTTTTTTTGAAATACAAAAATTTTATGTTTACGTGGCATGTTTGCTGTACCTCCAATGAAAGGAATATATGCGCAAAAAGGCACATTTGCTGCTACCTTCAAGTTGTTACAGAACTTGAATAGTACTACAGTACTATCGTCATTCTCTGATTAACAATATTCAAATTCTTTTGCTGGTAACTCGGTTTAGTCTCAAATTCCAGGATTTGTTTTAACATTTTTTGTGTATAAAACGGCTGTCTTCGAACAATTTCTCCTCACCAAACACTTGGAACATTAAAACCTAGAACATCTTAGTAATGAGAGATTGCATCTTGGATCGGAGCAATCTACAGCACCTACGAGTCTTCAGGGTTTTCAGAGACATGTAGTCCCTAAAGTAATTAAAAATCTATCCATTGTCATTGACCTAGAGTCACAACATAATCAAAATGTAACATTTGGAATGCTGTAAATTCATACACGGAGGTCTCACAGATAACTTTATTGTTAGCTACAAGTACACAAGGCACTGAGGATGATCTGTTCAGATCGAAAACGTTATGCTAGAACTTAAATTTTGACGACACTTTTTATAAAGTTTTAACTATTTGTCTTTTATACCACAATACATGTGTGAAGTGTTTTTTTAAACGATGGTATACAGCCAACTACGGGGTTTTTCCCATTAATTTTTTCAGGGTTTCTTTCTGGAGTCTGCCATAACCAAGTCATGGACTTTGTTGAACATTTCCGGCGTGTTGACTTCATTTGGCTTCCCGGGACGCTTATCATCGAAAACACTCGTACAACCACAAACAAATTCAGCTTTCGAAAATTTTACTGTTGCTAACGAAGGTGCAACCTCACCATAAACTTCGTCCAGGTGGGCTTTGATTTGCGCATTCGTTTTACCCTTTTTATGGAGGAACTTAATCACTGAACGATACTCGACTTTTTCCATTTCTCCAAAAACACAAAATTTGCTTGCTTTTGACGGCTGTAAAAACCAAACTAATTGTTTTTAAAACTTAAAATTTTGACAGACGTCATGTCATGAATGACAAATACACCGAAACCAATTCGGTATCAAGTAGCGCCGTCTATCAAAGGCTAGTTTAATGTCAATCTATCCTCGTATATGTCTATATATGGACACTTACTTTCCATAACCTAATTTTCACTTCATACGGTTTATTAAAATAAACAAAAGAATTTGTCGGATATTTCTCAATAAAAAATATTTTGAACATTCGTTCAACTATTTCAGTTGGAAGCAAGTGCTCAAATCGACGTGACTGGTTGCTAACAATTTTTTATCTTTGGGATTTAGTGTGCGCAGATACCAAGCTTACTGCGCACACTCAGCTTATAAATACTTCGCAATTATTACAGAAACCAACCTAATATCCAATGTGCTCCTTTGTTATCTACCTTTGCGCATATATTCCGTGTTCTAGTACTAATTTATCGTATTGGGAAGTAGTTTGATGGCCTTTTTGTTAACGTATAAATTTTATTTTTTTAATTTGTATTATATCACCTTCATTTAGCATCAATAATTTATATACCATGGGAATAATACCAATCACATTTAACTCATATCGATTTATTTTTAGTGACAATGTTATTATTTACAATAAACGATTTACTTGTTTATTTCTACATTTGTTTATTTATATCTACCGGTTGTAAAATATATATACTGAGGAAATAGTAAAAATATGGCTTATGAAATAAAATTTTCGAACTCTTAAACTTTTTTTTTTTTAATTTGGCTATTTACTATTTTCATTAATGTATATTATACCTGAGCAAATTATTTTAAACAATATTGTTATTGTTTATTGCGAAATATTTTACTTGTTTGGCTCTATAATTATGCGTATATACGATTATGACTGTAAATGCCTTTAAAAAATTTAGCATTTCTGGTTAATAACAATTTTTTCGGTTCTTTTTTTCATTGATTGAGATTTTTTAATGAATTTTGAGATAATTTATTTCTAGAATGCAAACCCGAATAACCATGCTTGTTAAACTGTTAGGCCGTTGTGTTCTGAGATTAGTTCTCGACGTTTCGCCAACACTAGGGTTGGCATCTTCTGGAGATGTTACTGCTTCGCTTGTAACCTGAAACTGGCGCCGCGTTGTACTGCGGAGGCAATTTCCCACTAGCCTCCCCTCCACTTGTTTCGGCTTGAGGTTGCGTGTCGTTGTTTGTAGTAGCTTTTCTTTCTTCGTGTTTGGGGTGAAGGGTGTTTGTGGATTTTAATATTGGTATCCATGTCTTGTTAATTTTCAGCCCTTCTTCTATCCGATTATTTGGGTGCTTATATATTTCCACCATGGATAGGACGGAAGAAACTTTCTTGGTTGAGGAATTTGCGGCAGTGGACAGGTTTGACAGCGGACCAATTGCTACACGTAGCGCAAGACCGAGATCAGTATAACAATATTATAAGCATGGTAGTCGCCGACGTTCCGTAGGGATATGGCACTCTAAGAAGAAGAATACTTCCACCGCTTCCTGATAGAACCGTGGGTAGTACTCTGAAGATTTGTCCAGCATCTGCGTTTCTTCAAACAGTATTCGATGTTCTCCGCCTCCCCCACCTAACCCCTAGTGTTGGCGAAATGTCGAGAACTAATCTCAGAAGACGACGGCCTAACAGCCCGAACAAACAGTTTAATAAGTTAGATGATGGCCGTGAAAGCCTAACGCAGTTTATCCGAATAACTATCTTTCGAATTCTATTGAGGACCCGCCAAATAACTTTCGATACGTATTTGAGTGGAAATATAATCCAGTCTGGATTTGTTTTATGTCTTTATAGTGAAAGCTTTTTGTAAACATCTGCAAATTTATATGTTGCTGTCATTGTTGAGCCACGAGGGACGCGTTTCGATCTCGATAGCTTCTATGGCAAGCTTTAGATCAATAGATCGTTTTTACCAAATCATATCAATATGAGCAAATAAAAAGGTCACAAAATAAAAAAATGTAGTTATGGTGTCTTTTTTAACCGTTTTACTCAATATAATTCACATTCAGAAGCATATTCCATACATTAGCCAGTAAAATTGTAATTTAAAGTAAAAAAAATTTGAATTTCACGTTTATTGTATGTGTTGATGTACTAAAATGTAATATGCAAGTTAAATACATTTTTGTAACTGATTGAAGCTGTATAGCAATAAATATTTGTAAGAGTTGTGTTATTATCATTACATTTCCCCCAATTCTCGTTTGAGTCTTCGTAGTACTTTATAGCTCCCTTAAACATCGAATAAAATAATTTCGACGGAACTGTTCGTTTGAAATATAAATATGTACAATTTTGTATCTACCGTGGATTTATCAAAGAATATTCCAATATATTGGGACCGTGCAAGTTTGGAAGAGCGACACCTGGTGTCGTAAATCAGCAAAATTTACTGCGCTTTCATGTTGGATCGAGGTTACCGGATAACTGTCAAGGACGTAGCCCCAAAAAAGAATAAGAAGAAAAAGTAAGATTGAGGTTATGTCGGTATGTTATTAAATTACAACATTACTGTTAATATGGATGCAATAAGCTTTTTTATGATATAAATCCACTTTCTCTTTGTAGTAATTTGTGCTTCGAAGTTGGAAACGAATAAAACTTAAATTAACGTTTTTTTGTTGTATTTTTACAATTTATAATACAGCATTTACTAAATCCCATTTTCTTCAGTGACAGAAGGTGTAAATAAACAAACGAATATGAAATTTGACAATTGACAATATTAATTTATGAAATCTATGAAATGTGCAGTAAAAAATGTAAGATTTCTCCGCTACTCGCGCACGATCGTTTCTCATACCACATCCAAGTACTTGCACGTCGCCAATACTTGTGGAACCAGCGGTATATCTACAAAATGGCAGCTGCGCAGACCACGCAATTTTATATAAGTCATAAATAAGCAGGTTCCCGCGGAAAACTTTGGATAAACGTTTTACTGTAATGTAGCATCATATTCTTTCTATTGAAGCAAGATTCAGCTTGTGGGTAAGAAATAATCAATATATAGACTTTTGCAATATAAAATCAAAATGAAATTGCACATTTGAAAGTAGTTGACTTATGCTTTGATCTCATATTTCTTATTTTTTTACTTAATTCAATGTCCAAGTTGAACAACAGAAAAGCAGCAGGTGAAGACGGGATACCAAACGAATTACTGAAATATTGTGGAGCAGCAATGACAGAACAATTGACAACATTAATTAATAAACAATAAAAGACCGGAAGAATGGAGAACGATCGAACTAATTCAACAAAGGAGATCAAAAACAGACAGAAAATTACAGAGGTATAAACTTGTTAAATAATGCCATAAAACTTACAAACAACTAAAATTTTACAATAACTAATGAATCAGAGGATACGTTTAGCAGATGAACAACAGGGTTTTCGTAATGGAAGATGGTGTACAATTACTGAGAAATCACTAGAGTATAATAGACCAGCATCTCAGTGTCTGATTGACTGAAAGAAAGCGTTTGACACAGTAAGATGTCGAGAACTAATCTTAGAAGACAACGGCCTAACAGCCGTTCCATCTCTTCCAGCTCCATCTTCTGCATAATAGAGAAGTTCCTCTAAATGTTACAAAACCTCAAAAAACTAAAACAATAGTAGTCAGCAAAGAACCAACAAGATGTAAAATAGAAATTAATGACACCAGTATTGAACAAGTCATGGAAATAAAATACCTTGGAATTACATAGTCCAGAGTCCAGCTATGGAGACCTAGACAAAGAAGTGAGAGATCAAGTACAAAAAGCAAAGAGACTGGCAGGATGCCTTAATAACACCATAAGGCAAAACAGACACATTAAAACTGAGATGAAATCAAGAATTTACAAAACCAGTGTAAGACCAATAATGACATATGCTTCAGAAACAAGACACAGCCACAACACAAAAGCTACTGGAAGCGACAGAGATGATAATACTGAGCACAATTACACGAAATACGCTGACAGATCGAAAGAAAAGTGAAGACTTTAGAAGAAAGTGTATAAATGAATGGACACTAAATACAAAAAAAGAAAAGAATGGAATAACCACATAAGCAGAATGAGGGAGACCCGTATCGTCAAAATAGCAGGAGATACGTCACCAAGCAGAATTCTTATAAAGAGGTGGAAGGAGAAGAAAAAGAATGTCCAAGATATTGAAAAATGTCTTCGAAAAACGCTAAAATTGGCCTTTCCGGCTCTTTTAGATGTTTATTTGCATTTTACGTCCAAAGTAGGCATTTTACGCTTAAAGTAAGCATTTTACGAGAGATTCACAAGAATAACGTTGTCTTAAATGAACCCTTTTTGCCCGACGGGACTCTGAAGTCCCAAAATTTTAAATCGTTATGATTTTCTTATTACGACAAACGTTGGCGTAATTCCTGACGGGACTGAGGCATACAACGTTTGTCTAACCTAAGAAAATATTTCATCGGGTGTATTCGCTGACAATCGTCGGTAATCGAATTTATTGTAACATTGTAACGTCGTGTTTTTCATTATTGTTTATACTGTTTCTGCGGAATTTTATTTGTGAATCAGACGCAATGCACTTCAGGGTAAGCACCAATAAAACATTTATTTTGTTATGATGATAATTATATCTCATATTACTATTTAATGCCTTGGGACTCTCAAGTCCCGTCAGGATTCAAAACATGTTTTTATATTACTTTCTTTTAGAATGGGAAGTAAATGGAAGGATTGTATGAAAAGGCCTTTATCAGAAAAGGAACTAGAAGAACTGGCAATACAAATTTTGGAGCTACCAGATGATGTCGAAATTAGTGAATATGAAGACAGCGATTCTGGTGACGATAATGAAATAAGAGATGTTGGTCTGCAGCTGAAGAAAGTGAATTAGTTGAAAATGATGTAGGTGAGATTGAAGAATCAGCACTAGGAGAAGCTGTGGTTGAAGACGAACTAAATGAAAGCGTTGAACCTCTTGAAGCTAACCGGAAATGGCATAAGAAAGATCTCATCGAAAATATTCAAAGTTACCACTTAGAAGAAGGAGCAGTGAGTCCAGAGTTCGCAGGATACACAACACCTACAGATGTTTTTGTTAGACTACTCGGAGATATTGTGGAGAAGATTACCTATAAAAGTAATTTGTATGCAGTGCAGAACAACAAGATACTGAATATAAAGGAAGGTGAATTACTGGCCTTTATCGGGCTGAACTTCCTAATGGGGTACCATCAACTTCTCTCGTGGAAAATGTACTGGAATACTTCAAAAGACTTACATATGCCTCTTGTTTCGAAAACCATGTTAAGGAATCGTTTCGAGATGATATTAGCAAATCTACATGTCAACGATAATGCCCATCTTAATTTGGGCAAAAAAGGGTTAACCCAAACTATTAAAAAAAAAAGTTTCGAATCGAAAAAAGCAATTTTTTTTATTTGTTCAAATTTCTTTTATAAATAAATAAGTTCCCATGGAAAACCTTCGATAAACTTTTAAACATACCACATTGGCATCATAATCTCTCGATTAAATCAAGTTTCAGCTTGTGGGTATAAAATAGATCTTTTTCAACAAGTCACTAGCTTACTAAACTTTGTGAAAGAATATGCAAAACACTTCACGGATTATGGAAGGAGAAGTCATGGGTTGTGTACTAA